TCATAACTGATGTAGTTATAGCTTAATTCTATAAAGACTTTCAAATGGATGAATAAAAAATAATAAAATACATTCTTTTCTCTCAGGAAACTTTGTATTTCCTTCAAAAAGTGCTGATTTTCAATGTTTTTTTTTATATAGAAAAATAATGATATTAACTATTATTTGAACTAATTTATGTCATATGCTATCTCGTAGAGTTTGATATTCACAACAGATATAACATTTTTATTCAAAACTGTTCTGGAAGAAGAAAGTGATAGTATTGTTTTCAACAACATATGATGTTTTGTCATAAATATTTTATATAAAGACGCTTATATACAGTGAGCATCAGAATCATTCACTCATTATTACCTTTATCTTAAATGAAACAAATACATAAAAATAAAGTGAAAAATATTATTTGAGAATTCATTTCTTGATATTTAATAATTTAAAGAATGTTGAATATAGTTGATGACTCTACTAAATAGCATACGGAAATTATGAAATAAATAGACGAATGAGAAGAGTTTCATTTGTTTTCTAACCATTAATACTTTCTATTTTATTATTGATCATTTAATGAAAAACGTTGCAAATAATTTATAAAATTGATTCATTTTTCTGTTGACATCTACATAATAAAACATATTCTTCTGTATCTTTCATTAATTATCATCGATATTTGTCTTTTGTTGAATGCAATAAAATAATTTGTTTCTTTTTAGTGACATTCTCCAATAATCAACAATGAAAATTGGCTTGAATAGTAGAAAAACTCTTCTATATTTTATTGAAAACTGAGCTTTAAAAAATAAAAGGTTTATTTTTTTTTCTTCAGTCGCCTATCTGATGACGTCAATGACAATTTTGTTTTTTGTTAAAACATTTGCAGCAAATACAACATTTGAATTTCACAATAAAGAAAAACAATAAATCCGTTTCCTTCTTCAAAACTAATATAAAATATCAGGGATTATTTGTTGTAAATATAAAAATGTTCATGATATTGAAATGTTTGTAGGAAGGATGTGAAAACAAAGTGTTTCAAACAAAATACAATGTTATTCTTGTTAAGAATACATCGAAAATCACACCTTTTTGATGGAAATACAATGCTTCCTGAAAAATAAAATACATCGACATTATCTGATATCTAAAATGTATGGCACAATTGTTTTTATTCTTATTTCATAGATTAAACATATGATAAAAAAGTGCGATTACTCATCTTCAGAATAAATCTTCACCAAATGTTATTCAACAATAGGAATATCATCGGAACACATCAAATCTATGAGAAATGAATGTATAAACAAAAGAAATTAGAATTCAACAAAATCAACTGAAGTCATAATTTTATTATTGTTTAAAATTATTCATCATGATGAATAATTATGATTAAATTAACATAGTTGTAAGTGAAAATAGTATATCAATCATTTCTTTTGTTTTGTATTGGTATGAACAAGAAAATGAAGAAGATATCATACCGAGACTGATATTGTGAGCAAATAATTGTAAAATGTTAAATACTTTCTTAAAAACAACAACATTTCCTAATATTCAGTAAGAAGTCAATTGACAAAGTTAATTCTTTTTATTATGATGTGAACAATTAAAATATTGAAGAACAGTTAGTTTATTTTATGAAACTAAAATAAATATTTAGAGATTCAGTTCTGTAAAAACAAAACTGTAAATCTAAAAATAAATTGAATGTTATGCAGATTAATTTTTTTCCTTAATTATCTGAACTTCTATTTATTCCACTGAAAAACTCAATATATTTTATCAAATAAAATATTTGTAATGAGAAAATAATTTATGTAAATTATTACATCTGAATCAAATTATAAAAGTATTTCATAAACTGATTAGTTTTCTTGAGACAAATCCAAAACAATGTTAAAACATATTTGTTTTAACAAAAGGTTTTTAACTAATTCTCAATTGTTCAAATTTTATTTTATTAAGATTTTATTTCGAAATATTGAATTTACAAGAAAAATTAAACGGTAAATGACACAAGGATATTATCAGTAGTGTTTTTGGTAATCAATAATGCACAACTAAACCTTCACGTCTATTCACATTATCACGTAAATCATACGCACTCACACATTCACCCTAAAATACTACGTAGATATTTCACAGTTTTCAAATCTTGTGAAATTGATCTTATGAAATAGAATACTTTGTCGTAATAAGTTTCTTCTATCGGGAAATTTTTGTACTTCCTTGAAAAAAGCGGCACTGCTTTTCGATGTTGTTTCAAAACAGTTTGTTTTCATCTTCTGCCAAGAAGAGGCTCATATTTTTATAGAAGATAACAACTCACATTTGACGATATGTTTTCTCAAAATTAATCTTAGAAAATGACGTGATTTAACTCTTTTTTTTCTTGTGTAATTGTTTTGTTTTAAGTGTTTTACATGCATTGAAATGATTATATAGATCAAAAACAATTAATTATTAGAGAGGGCTTGAATTTCCAACAATTTGTAGTTAAAATTTGATTGGAAAATTCTGAATAACAATAAATCAAAACAAAGTGTTGATGTTTATTTTTATATTTTAATTGACTAGATCATGCATGGAAAAATAGTTAGATATTACGCGAAATATATATTTGAAAATGAATGATATTAAGACTAACGATAAGTGGAAATAATTCGATCTACGATAAAGAGAATAAATCTGAAAAAAATAGGAAGAAGTTTATGTATTCTATAATTATAACAAGGTTACGTAATAATCTCTCAACAAGAAGATTTGTTCGTAAATTTCGGATTGAAAAGTATTCCGATTTAGACGATTTATCGAACGTCGATGATCAACAGCAGGATAAGAGTTTCCGTTGTCATTTATTGAGAAAAAGAATAACAACATAATACAATCGTCTATTATTTTTTTTTCATATTTCCATCTGATGCAATTAATTATGATACAAGACAACCAAGGATATTATATATATACAATAAATTGTAATAGATATTAAATACATTCTCTTTGATTCTTGTTGATTTAATTATAATTATTTTAATAATCATTTTTAAAGTGAAAAAGACATAAATCATGAAAATATCTCAACAATAGAAGAATTGGGTGTGGGTGTGGATGTAGGTTTTCAGTTCATTTTTTATCTAGACCAAACCCACACCCACACCCACCCACACCCACATCCACCCACACCCACACCCTCAGCACTAGCTAAATCGGACCAAAAGATATAATTTTCATCGTGCTGATACATTTCAATAAAAGGAATAAGTCTTTTATTAATACATTCATTGAGATATGTGGCTTGACGAATATCTTACTTGCTTTTGTGAACGTACACATCAGAAACACCTTTGGAGGATATAACCATCCAAATCATCACCTTTGATTCGAATTTTCTTTTTGAAATTTGATGTTGGGAGAAGCTGTAGCTGGATCAGTAGAATAGAAAAGCCGGTTGTCACATACATTATTTTCACCAAGTTTGAAATATGTCTCATCATCTAAAATCAGATCACAACCGTTTAACAATTTGTGGTACAATTTTCTGCAGTTTTGTTTTTGAACGTCTTTCTTCATCTTCACTGTCCATTTTTGAAGCTGTACGACGTTTTCTGATAACAATCGACGTTCTTTTTCGTAGATTATGTGAATTGGTTGATTGATGTACGTTAAAACGTCGTCCTATTTTACGTTGGCTAATACCGTATTGATTGTTCACAGATTTAACAATACGTTCTAATGTTTTGTTGGATAATTTCACCGGACGACCGTTACGAGATTAATCATTGTGATTCCATATTTCAAGTATTTGTTGAGTATATAACATACAGTTCTTCGTGGAATATTTTGTTTTATAAAATAATTTATTATAGTTTTTACAGAATTATTGGCAGCATCAAGATAGAAGTGTACAATGCGTTGTGTTAGTGCTTCTCTTTCAACACGTATCCTTTTAGTTATGAACAAATAGTAAAAACTAGTCATATAACGGTCAAAAGAGAAAAGAAAGAGCTATCATTGAGTAACAAAATGTTCAGTTAAACACGTGTTCGTTCGTCCAAAAAATAGATCGATATTTGTGCAAAGACTTTTGCATCGCTCATTATATAGAAAATACCTTGTTAGTTAGTTTTATTCTATATGATCTCATTTTAATTGTCCTCATCTGATTATTGAAACAATTAATTTCATATTAAATGAACCTTAATTAAAAGGAATACGCCTATGATTCTTGTATGCTTGAAGGTGTGGGTGCGAGTGTTGATGCGGATGAGAGATAAATTCTACACCTACCTACACCAATACCCACTGACACCCGCACGTACAACCACACCCTCACACAGCTACACCCATACCATATCCACACACACCCACATCCATAGCAACATCCACCCTACCTCACCCACAGGCAAACCTACACCCACATCTACACCATCTAGTAATTCGAGGATTTCTTGAGTAACCCTTTTTAATTTTATTTTAAATATACAAGTATACATATACAATTACAATGGCATCAAGCCGAACGAAATAGAACAAAAGAGAAACGAGTGTTTATATATGATTATATGGTTCCTTGGGTTGCTTTTGATAAAAGAAGACAAGCATATACAATATAAAGTATATTTTATTTGAGATATAAAATATTGAAACGCACAGATAACAAGAGAAATACTAAATTTTGACACTAAAAAGAAACTGATTAACGTGAAAAAAATTTGAATAAAATAGAAAAATTAAAGCTGCAGATCAAATAATGAAGAAAAATGTTTTGTAATGCTCTGTCAGTCAACAAAGTTGTTTGAAAAAATTGTTGTTTCGTCCTTAGGTGCTGGTTCTTAAAGAGAACAGATAATGTAACCAAATAAAAACAAATACCTTGGTGATCTTAGTCTCAAACAAAGAATATGAGCAATTTATCAATTGCAAACATTGAATTTTTTCTCTGCTACCAAAATTAGTTATATTCTTGTAGCATACCTGGCTGACTAACAACGACGATCATCATCCTACAGAGTACGGCTTGTAACAACAGCATTTTTACAACAGGCGGTACAACAAGCAATACATTGATCACGAAAAGTACTTTCATAAGTACAAGACTGATTACAACTAGCACTGCCCCAAGTACCCCCAGGACAATAATGTGCAGCACCACCCCCACCAGCTGTTTTATCACCAGCATAATATTCATAAAAAGTTAAACGAAAACCACCAGAAAAATCAGATCTAGTACCACAAACGTTGCTGTTAGGAGTACAAATACTAGGTGTAGATGTTGGTGCTGGTATAGCTATAAGAAAGTACAGTTCAACTTTTTTTGCAACTTTTCATGAAAACTATTAAAACTATTGATCTAATGGACCACCGAATGAAAAAGCTTTTAACGCATTCCCTGTGGGACTAAAAATGTGAAACAAGATAGAGAGTCTTATGTTGTGAATGAAACGATTTGGCAACCTATATATCGGTTGTAATACTAGCATATACGTGTATGTGCTGACACATAATAATGACATATAGCCTGTCTCTCAGCTGTGACGAGGACTATGAAGTCTGTCGGTTACAGTTTTTTACGCCTCGTATAGATCGTTGCTATAGACGTCTGCCACGTCTGTATTAAACCTTTTTCAATGTGACTATGACATATGTGACGTGCCGTTGTTAAGCACGTCTGTAACGTATGAGAGGGATATGGTTCAAGTTTCTACTTTTAAATACATCAACACTCTTTTGTGAAACACAATCTAAAAGGAGTGTTGAAGTCTATAGAGGTGGAAATTTAGATCCACCATCCCGGCCCGCCCTACAGACTGTAATCTAGACAACATCTCCTGAAAATTTCAATTCAATCGGACACTTCCTTTACAAGATAATATATTTCAAAAAGTGCTCATCGTTTACCAATGATATCAGGAAACTTTTCTTTTTCTAAAAACTTCTTTTCTCGTAAAAGAAGTGTCCGATTGAACTGAAATTTTCAGGAGATGTTGTCCACATTTGGTGTTATCCATAAACAAGAATTCAGGTCAAAACTGTGATCACTCGATTTTTATCTTTATTTTAAGATATAGGCTAAAATTTCAGTAAATTAACTATAACTCGAAGACAAAGCGCTATTAGCCGTTATTTTTTTAAGCCTTTTACTGAGCATACTAATATCTACGTATGCACAAAATATCAGCTCAAAAGCGATTTTCAAGTTGTTGACCCTTCTTCGTAAACTCATAAATAGTTTTAGCACGATCTTCATGAGAAACTGTACTATGTGCTTCACCTGTCACACTGTAATAATTTTCATAACTACAAATGATTTTCTAAATTTGATATAACACACAATATTAACACTACCAATTTTAATTAAAACGAAGCGACATGCGACCCAAAAAAAAAGTTTTTGAAGAAAATCAAATGTTTACCTTCTGCTAATGATATAAATTTTACTTTACTACACTCTTTTCTTAAGGGTGTGGGTATCTATTCATCACACACGCATAACCACACCCTCGTGGTTAGATTTCTAAAAAAGAAGCATTATTAGTACTTTCTAAAGAATATACACATCGAAGGATGGCTTTTTCAGCCAATTCATTTCTCTTAAACTTATTGTAAACATTGATTAGATAGATATCAAAAGCACTATAGATCATTTAACATATTTACTCACACATTGTGATTGTTGTTGTTGTTGACGTTGATGTTGATGTTGTTGTTGCTGTTGTTGTTGATGCTGTTGTTGATGTTATCGCAGTCAGTTCTATTTTACAGAGATGAGTTTAGAATGAGATTAAACGATTGGATACGAGTTTACTTCTAATTTCTTACTTTTTCTTCTCTAACTATTCTGTCTGATTTAAATATGAGTACATTATGACAGAAGAGTAAATCTTTCGATGGCTTGCATTATGATTGTACGTCTACAATCTTTACTTTCTTTAGATCTCTACTATAAGAATCTTGACAAATGATTCCATGTTTCTTATAATTATAGTAATGAGAGTTTTAGAATTATTCAGATTGACTTCAATAACATTTGCATACTGCTGTTGTTCTTAAAATATTTCATTTTTCTTCAAGTTCATATTCTTTTCAGGAACTAATCGTAACTTAAAGATCAAAACTTACAGTTCCTGGATATCTATCACAAAATCGAATGAATTCAGGCCAGTCTAGTTCATAGTTTTCGTTGCATTTTGAGGGTGGGTGTGTGTATGGATATCTCTGCCTTTAGTAAACACCCACACCCTTTCATTACGGATTTGAAAAAAACTTTTGATACTGTTGCTTAGAAGTATAATGTATAAGTTCTTACGATAAACAATGAAGTTCTACTTCTGTCATTTGAAATAATTTCTCTTATATTAACTTCAAAATAAATGATTACCACATTTTGACTACCTGTTGCTGATATTTTTTCACTGTTTGCCTTTATTGTTTTTAACATAACAATTGGAATTGTTATAATTATAGCAAGTGCAATAATAATAAATGTGAGCCACTTCACTTTTCTTCTATTCAGACATTCGCATCTAGAATAAAAAATATTTTTTATCATTATTGTCTACAATTTATAAGATACATACAATTTTTTTGATTGAGTCGCATTCGAAGTAACTGTTTCAGGCTAAAATAGTTAACAGAGACAAATATTATATTCTATGCTTTTTCTTTTTCTCAATAAATTACATCATCATCAATTCCTACTCTGTTGCTCATTGTTGATATCTTGTTGAAAGTTTAATACTTTTACAATCTAAAATCGACAAAAGCATTTTCTCATTTATACATTTTCAGTCATTAATAATATAATGAGAAAGAAATTAAACTGTTTATTTACATATCTTTTCGCAAAAAATCATCTGTGTTTCTCATTAATTGTTGAAATCTATATTTCTAGTAATATCTAATATTTCTTACTGATTAATCTGATGGCATAAAAAGCAGACTTAGATATTGTTGTTCTCACTTACAAGTTTTTCATTCCAATTTCAACTAGAAAATCATTAAAATAGTAGAAAAGATATTTATCATGCTCTGTCTTTCTCTTTCTTAAATAATCAGTTCTTTTTATGACGTGTATCATTATGTTAATGTAAAACATTTCTAACAAAATATCATATATCAATAAAAACAATCAGCTCACTTCCTTTTTCAATGTTACTTTTCAAAAAAACAACAACTCTTGTCAGGTAGAGTTGTTATCTCGTATAAATGTGAAATTGTTTGAGACAACATTTAGTGTAATTATTATTAGTTAATAAAACATTGAAAAATCAGCACTGCTCAAAGGATATGCAACATTTCCTCCCAGAGAAGAAAAGCTGCTGTTAAAATGCTCCACTATTGACAAAGATTCTTCTGAAATAATTGAGAATTAGACAATATTTATGATTAGAAATATCTCTGATTTTATTTTATCTTATGCAATAATTATTGTACAGAATAGATAAATGATTATGAAAGTAACATTGTGATTATCTTTACATTGTTTCTTGATTTCAAAAAGAAATCGATCTTCATCGTATAATTTGTTATTCATTGATGTTTTAGTTGGAAGTCGATTAAGAACATTGAAGAAAACTATAATCATGATTCTAATTACAATCATAGTCATATGAAATACGAAGAGGCTTTGATTAATTGCATTTAGATGTGACTGTCGACGATTATGGATATTATATCTGTCTCTCAATATTCTCCTCACTATGAAAAGTTATTAATGTTCTTTTAATCATTTTTCTCATTGAAAAAACAAAATATGACATATATTTGTTAGTTTGTGATTGAACATTTATGTCGAAAAAGTGAAAATAAAAAAAAACAGGAATCATATCAATTGTCAAGTTTTGTTTAATATCATGAAACTTTGAAGTCCACTGTTTTCTCTTCAGATAAATATTAGAATAATAATATGAAAGATGAATATATTCCCCTTATCTTGATGTTAATTTATCGTCATTCTTATCTCTTCTTTTCTAATACATCATCAAAATATTTCATACTTATCTTAATCTATTAATGAAGTATTTTATCGATGAAATATCTTTTTAACAGTAATTTCATAACTGATGTAGTATAGGTTAATTCTATAAAGACTTTCAAATGGATGAATAAAAAATAATAAAATACATTCTTTTCCCTCAGGAAACTTTGTATTTCTTTCAAAAAGTGCTGATTTTCAATGTTTTTTTTTATATACAAATAATGATATTAACTGTTGTTTGAACTAGTTAACGTCATATGCTACCTCGTAGAGTTTGATATTTACAACAGATATTAATATTTTTGATCAAAATTGATATGAAACAAGAAAGTGCTGATCTTATTGTTTTCATGAACATATGATATTTAATCAGAAATATTTTACATATAAAGACGCTTATATACAGTGAGCATCAGAATCATTCACTCATTATTACCTTTATTTTAAATAAAACAAATACATAAAAATAAAGTGAAAGATATATCATTTGAGAATCCATTTCTTGATATTTAATAATTTAAGTAGTGTCGAACATAGTTGATGATTCTACTAAATATAATTATAAAACTAGAAAAGAAATAAAAATGAAAAGAATTTCATTTGATTTCTAATGATTAATATTGAGAAAATGATCTTCTCATTTGTTATTATCAATAAATCATTATCTCTTATTGATATATTTGTCTTCTATTGAATGGAATAAAAACAAGTTGTTTCTTTTTAGTGACATTCTCCAATCATTAACTATGAGAATTGACTCAAATGATAAAAAAAGTCTTCTCTATTTTTTTTGGCTGAAAACTGAACAAGAGAAAAATAAAAGGTTTATTTTTTTCTCCATTCGCCTACCTAATGACGTCAATGACAATTTTCTTTTTTGTTGAAACATTTGCAGCAAATACAACATTGGAATTTCACAATAAAGAAAAACAATGAATCCGTTTCCTTTTTCAAAACTAATATGAAATATCAGGGATGATTTGTTGTAAATATAAAAATGTTCATGATATTGAAATGTTTGTAGGAAGGATGTGAAAACAAAGTGTTTCAAACAAAACTTAATGTTATTCTTGTTAAGACTACATCGCAAATCATGTCTTTACGAAGGAAATACAACGCTTCCTAAACAATAAAATATATGGACATTATCGGTTATCTAAAATATATTGCACAATTACTTTTATTCTAATTTCACACATTAGATAAATGAAAAGAAAAGTGCAGTTGCTCATCTTCAAAATGAGTCGTCTTCACATACTATTCAACAATATGAATATATAGAATAAAGTACAATACAAAATGTATTTCAATAAATATGATTATCAATGTGACAGATGAAGTGTTTTACAGATTTTTGATCATTGACGATGATATATTTTTATGGATCTTCGCTGTGATTGACTAATTGTAGTAGTTATTTTCAAAGTTTTCCTGAGTTGTCTTCGTCATTTTAGTTAATATGATAGATGAGAAGATCGAAATTTGATGAAGATCGCCCACCTAAGAATTTTAGGTATTTGTTTTTTATCAATATCTTTTGCATCGTATCGATGTTAATTGCCCACGATTATATTCACATTCATTGCTGGTGTATTTGGAAAAATATTTGCGTAAACTTAATGCATGTTTCGTTTAGATGATTGATTGATGCTTCTGATTTAATTATATTGTGTCATCTGTTTGATTATTAGCAAAATTAGCAAAAGCGATACGTATCGCTGCTTTAAGATTGTTGATGTGTTGATTGTCTCATTATTTTATGATGCATAACATAAAGGTTGAAGTTGTTAAGAGCAATCTTACATCCATACCAACGCCCGCACCCATTCGCCCACATCCTCATCCAAACCTACTCTCATCGTGATACAATGCATATATATAACATCACTTTTTTGCATTGTCTACTTTTCAAATAAGAACGTGTTCATTATTTAATCTCATTCTATCAAATGTTTTAAAGAAATTATTATAATACATTTATTTTATTATAAGAGAAAAGAAGAGTAGAAAATCTTTGTTTTTTATCAATTATCATCATATTCGTCTTCGATATGTTGTTTTAATGTTGGTAATGAATGAATTTTCTGTATAGCAATGACTTGGATACCATCTTCTGGTGCAACAACCATCATTTCTTTTTGCCGTGTTCGAAGACGAAGTGTTAACAAATTATCTGTTGGATCAATATCACGAATAATCGATCGACTCATATCAGCAAAAGAAAGTAACTTTGATGTTATGTGAAATGTAAGATTATTATCAAGTGATGTATACTGAAGTTGTCCTTCTTCATTTGTTAATATAATACCTTCAACATTAGGATGTGCTAATAAACGTTTTAATGTTGCTTCTTCAGTTGGTAATAGATCTATTTTCGAATTATAGATAGAATAAAAATGACATTTTATTCAAAAAAAAAAGAAAAAGATTACTTAATGATTTTTCCATTTCTTTCTAACAGTTTTCAATTGCAATTTGTCGTTAATAAATAAAAGATAAGAACTCTTTTTTATGTAAGATAAGAAAGAAAAAAAACTCTTTACTCTTGACCAATACACGCATTCATGTTAGATATAGTTGATAATGTTCAACAAATTGAATATTATTTATTGTATATAAAAAATTCTAACATGGAGAAGAAAAAAAAATGATGTAGTTTTGTTTCCGTTTGTTTTCTTTTATAATGAAAACGATAAGAGAAAAAAGAAATGTTTGACATATCTCTATGTACTTTTCATTTGACGTCATATTATTCTTATCTTTTAATAATGTATTAGTATATAAATTTAATCAACTATTTCTTTTTGTTATTATCATTTGTATAAAAGAAAAAAAAATGAATTTTTAATAGTGTGGTGTTTGTTATGTAGGAAGAGAGAGAGAACTTTTTTTTGTCTATTAATACAATATATCCTATATTGATTAATCAATAAAAGAATTTAGCTGAAAACTATTCATAAATGCTTTCATATTTAAGCGAACAATATTATATTTTATTTTAATATATTTTCCCCACTTGTAATCGTAAATATGATGTGATAACATACAGAAAAAGAAAACGAAATGGGAAAGGAAGAAATGCTAATGTTTATTTGTATAATTTGTTATATTGTCAATAGAAGATATGAAAGAAAGACCGTTAACCAGTTACATTTTTCCGATTGGTTCACTGTTATCATAATGAGAGAAAATTGAATGATTTTCTTGATCTTGTTGAAATTTGCCAATAATTACGTGTAAAATATGAAAAGCGCAAGCATATTGAAATTGAGAAAGAACCATTTAAGTGATGTGATGAAGAAGAGAAATTAAAAGGAAGCAGAAAAACAAGAACGAAAGATGTGTAGTTTTAGTTTAGGTTGTGGATAAAAATGTAATTTAACTATTGACCAAAACTAAAATTATATGAAATGAATTTATATAAAATTAAATATATATTATGAATAATCTACCGATGCCAATCGTTGTACGTTGTTGTAGTTTGTTGAACTGAAGCTGTAAAAGAAAACAATATAAGAAATCGAGAAATTTGAATATGCTTCAATTTACGTTTCTTTTGCTCGCCAAATGTTGGTACATATGATGTTAATTTTGGTCCACGAGCTATATAATAAAATGACTGTACAATGTTTTCGTAAGTAAAATTGTTAAACATACTTGCTGAATTACTATTATTTGATGTATCTCCAAGCCAATTAAAACTATCACGACGCACTGTTTGTCGTGGATTAATACCTATATGATGAGAAATATAACTTTGAAAATAATACAAAAAATCAATATTTACCTGGTTTATACCTTGAATTTCCCATATAATATTGCTTAGCAGATGCTTTCGTTGTCGAAAATGGTGCTTTCATATCATTTTGATCACGATTATTATTTGCATTAGAAAAAAAATCATCTGGATTAAGATCAATTGCTGGTTTATTCGATTTATTTGTTGTTATTTTTTGTGTATGAGTCTTGCTTATTATATGATCATCATTTAACCAATCTGCTAAATTATCTCCTCTGTTTGATGATGCAGAATTTTTACTTGGTGCTATTGGATGTAAAGCTTTTGGTGCTTGTGGTGGTGGTGGAATTGCTCGGCCTTGTAATATAGCATCAATATCAAATGATTGATCGACTGCTGGTTTAGGTGGTTGTTTTAATATTGATGTACGACGTTGTTCAGAATGAATATTTGCATTTGAAAATATTGGAATATTTCCTTTTCGATTTTCTGATATGGATGTATCATATTTTGATACTTTTTGTTGTTGTTGTTGTTGGGAAGAATTATCAAATAAAAATCCACTCGATTGTTTTGTAGATTTTTGTTGTTGCTGTTGAGTATTTATATTTTCTTTTAGATTTGTTTTACTTGGTTGTTCGAATTCTTTAAGTAATGCATCTAAATCATTCATATCATTTGCACTACCTGGAGTTTTATCCTTAAAAAATAAAACAATTTTTGTTAGAAAAATTCAAATATAAGCTAGTTACCTCATCTCTATCCCAATCTTTGGTATAAATTTGTTTTGAATCATGTGATTGAGTTGATATAACTGATGATGAATCATTAATTACTGAAACATTTGTACTTGATATTCCTAATGAATCTTGACTGACTTTGAAATATGGATGTTTTAAACACTAAAATATAATATGAGATAAAATAGTTGAAAAAAAGAATGGATTTATACTTGTGTTGCATTTGGTCGTCGTTTAGGATCCCATTCAAGTGTTGCTGCAATAAGATCAATTCCATCATTATTTGAACTATGAATAATTTTTTTCAGATCTGTTCGAGCACATTGTGGCCAACGAAAAGAAAGTTTAGCAGCTAGCATAAAACCTTCTGGCCATTCATCCTTAGTAGAAGAGAAATAAAGGAATATATATATATTTTATAAAAGAGAAAACTTACTCTATTTGGTGTACCCATAACAGCACAGATCTTGAACATTTGATCAATTTCACTACTACCGGGAAATAATGGTCTTAATGTATAAAATTCAGCAGCAATACAACCAACTAATAGAGAATTGATTTTATGTGAAAAGTATTTTTTTTGGAAATATTTATTTTACCTGCCCATATATCAATTGGAGATGTGTAAGAAGTAGAACGAAGTAGCACCTCGGGAGCACGATACCATCTTGTAGATACACTAAATAATAACTTATGTTTGAAATATAATGTATGGAAAAAGGATATTTACTAATCAGTATATGGTGGTCTTGAGCGTAGCTCACGAGCAAGACCAAAATCAGCTATTTTTATTAGTTCAACACCTTTGCACAATATATTTTCAGGTTTTAAATCACGATGAAAAAATCCTAAATAATAATAAATATGGAATTTAAAGAATAGTGAGAGCAATTGTCTTACCAAGTTTATGCATATAAGCTAATCCTTGAAGAAGTTGAAATATAACATTACGAACATTAGTCTCAGGAAATAATCGATCTCTATATATAAATAATATTCAATTTAATAATCAACAAAAGAAAATATATTCTTTACCGTTTTTTCATTAATTCATAAAGATTCTCATTCATATACTAATAAAACAAAGGTAATTCATTATATTTGAAATAGATAATTTACCTCAAAAATCATATATAAATTATTATCTTCACGAATAACTTCTTTTAATTTAATAATATTAGCATGACGAATTTTTTGTAAAGCCTGATAAATTAAATATTTCATTTTCAAATAAATAATTCAATTTTTATCTTACTTTAACTTCTCGTAAATCCATGCATTCTTGCCAAGAATCTAAAAATAAATATTTCATTCAAAAATGAAATTCTTCTCTTCGACTTACAATATTTCTTTTTCATTCTAAATAGAAAAAATAATATATATTTATTAGATAAAAAAATTTCTTTATTTTATTTACCGTTTTATAGCAACTTTTTCTTGAGGTGAATCTTTAAGATTAGCAAGTAGCACACTTCCATATGTACCGTCACCAAGTTGCTTCACAATCTTATATTTCTCCATAAATAATTTGTTTGATTATGTATTAATACAATAAAAATGATTTTGCAGATAAATAATCAAAAAAGAATACATTCATCTAGATAAATAAAAAATTATATAGTTTAAGGAAAAAAAAACAATAGTATGTAAATCTATCTAACGTCATTTATTAGCTATTAAGACGCTGAAGACAACTTCATTATTGGCGTCGTTACCTGAACTCTACCTTTTTAACTATTCAATTATAGAGAAATATAAAAAAATAAATAATTGTTCATACGAAAGATAACGACATCTGCAGGAATAAAATTTTATTCATGAGATTAAATAACAGATGTTTCATATCATATTGAAGTTAGATTTGGTAACTTCTTTACACTCTCATAGAAATCGGCAATGAGAAAAAAAAGTACATGTCATATATGACAAATGAAACTTTAATTTCTATTTAATGTACCAGGGTTTAAAGTCATTCAATTGTGTCTATTTAATTCAACTATTTGTTCTCTTTTCTTTGTTATGCTCTATTGAAAATGCAAGTCATATGGACAGCATCCTGTCATATTCACTTGTCAATCTTTCTATCAGTTCATTCACACGTGTTTATTGACGAAACATTGAACAGACGGTCACTAGTTCTTTTTGCTTTTTAATATCTATTCGGTCAAGTATCTCACAATAGATAGTATTTATTCATTAATAGATGCTTTTTCTAGCCGGAAGCTTTTTCTTTCTTTTTTTTAGTTTTTTTTGACTGATGATAGAAATTCGCCGACCTGCATTACCAATTTATGCTTATCGTACTCATTCGCATGGTTGAATATCTATGATTTTCAGTAATAATCTCTCTTCCAAAAAAACATTCTCAAAAAGTCTAGAAAACAAAAGAAATGATTGAATGATTTTAGATTAGTTTTCGATGATCATTTCTTAAAGAAAGAAAGAAAGAAGGGCGTTTTCCCATCAAATTAGCATTTATTTCTTCCATGTTTTAATAATGATCGATGCAGTTCAGTTTCTCAAGTATGTTCTCCTCTTCTCTCCTATATACTTGTCAAAGAAAATATAGAGAGGCTATTTCGATATTGTTCTCAATGTTATAAGTGTTCGTCGAATGATTACCTTTTGAATATAAGAATTTACACTTGCGTCTTGTCCTTCAATAATTCTCACTAGAGGGAGTTGTTTTCTTATTAATGAATGAAAATCCCACACAGTAAGACAGGCGGTAAGCGTTCAAACGCACGAACATATGTCACTGTATCGGTCTAATGCGTGACTATGGAAAAAGTGCCAACAACAAATACTGCTACTACTTTTAATAATCATATTAAAAAAAAAAGTTCAATCAGTTTTTATTATAAAGTTTACTACAATTATTGAATAAATAAGTGACAGTGAAGAAAAATTGTTTTATACATATTTTTGTTCTTTTAATTCAATATATCCTTTGGGCATATAGACATGCATTTGATCTACTTGAACATCCATTTAAAGTAAAGAGAGATCCTTGAAAAAATGATCAATTACTAATTCGATCAGTGCATTACTTTAGGTGTTTATTCGTCACAAGAGACTTTCCTTCATTTTTTTCTTCATAATATATGTCGTCTAATATATTATATAAGAAGAAAAATATGTATGTAATGATGCATAAAATAAAATCGACATAGTATTCTTTTCTTTTCATTTTGTTTGATCTATTGTAAGTAAAAGTTGTCTTGAACTTATCAGTGTTCAACTTGAGACTCGTTTAATGCATGAATAGACTTTTGAAATTTAAGCTAACAACAACAACAACATACATCATGTTTGTCTATGGAAATTGAGAGTGAGTGAGTACAATTGTTATTCAGTAATTTTAGTGGAGACGAGATTTTTTTTTTCTAACTGAAGTCTCATTATTGAAAATACAAATAATATCCCACAGAGATTTTTAATTAGAATAAATAATTTTTATTTTCTTGTTTTTACAATTGCAAATTCTCGAAGTTCACATCTGTATTATTGACTATCAATTGGCACGTGTATGTATGGATAAAGAAGGAGAGAGAGAGAAAGAGAAAGAGAAATGTATCGTATTTCTTCTCTCTCGTTCAAGCAATATGACCAATACCGAATAGAGAGGAGAAGAACAAGATGGATGAGAGACAAAAAAGAATGAATCCATAATTCACCAGAATCGATCAACTACTGTTGTAGTTCAATTCTTTCGTCATCATTTGAAATTATAACACATACAATCGAGGTACGTTTTGAAGTTCATCAGTGATGTAGCATGCAAATGTTTAGGTGTCAGATTGTCTTCTTTTCTTCTCTTTAATCAATCTATCATCATCATCATCATCATCATCATCATCATTTGATAATAATAATAATAATCATAATGATTACATCATAAAATAGCCAGTAGGCAACAGAAGGTTGAAGTTTTTATGACCCATACTCTCTCTCATATGTACATATTTCTATTCTTCTTCTGGTTTATGTCTGAAGGTTAGAACAAAGGTGTAAAGATTGACTGGTCATTAGAATAAGAGTGTTTGTGTATATACATAAATGACCTTTTCCAGTTCTTGCCATACATTTACCTTCTTCTAAATAATCTCATCGGAAGAATATTCTATCAAAAATATCAGTGGAAAAAATGAAATATTTGTTTTTAATCTTTATCTTATCATTCATAGTAGCATATGTATTTCCTATAATGTCAAACATTTATTCATAGATAGATCATTCTCTGTTAGTAATGGCTAGATAGTTAAGATACTACACTTGCTTTTTCTTCTTCTTCTTCATCTTTATCATAACTAAAATAATAACAACAAAGAATCATTCGATGTGCTAATCGGTTTTCGATGACATATCCTCTATAGCATAAGACATAGACAGACAGTAGCTAGTCAATCGGTAATCTTTTACGGTTAATCCAATTGGGTGCCAGAAGGGTCAGACGAACACACACGCTTAATTACATAAGACAATACTTCCGTATGTATGTATGTAGTCTTCATTTCCGTTTGTTCATCAGAAGAAAATATGTACAGTTGTCAATCAAATAAAGAAAATGATAAGGAAACAAATAGATTTTTTCCCCCTTGTTTTATAAGTATAGTTAGCAATGATAAAATCATTATTAGAAGCTCAAGATTATTTATCTTTATTCTACTTAGAGCAATCTGAAGATAGTAACAAAAATACTATATTTCTGTAAAAAGAAAGCTTCAGGAAACATTGTCTTTATATGGCATGATGAAAGCAAAAATAGTACTTTATTTTTGCGTGCTATTTCATCTTGATAGGATTTGTTTTTGAATAGTATACTAGAAATATAAGATGAAGAATTGTTGTTTTCATGATTTGAAAGAAATTTTTTTAGTATTTCTATTGTTCTTCATTATCTTCTTGCTACGAAATCATTCGTTTACTTTACTTATTGTCGGCATTATGTGCTCGAGAATATATCATCTTATCAAGAAGAAAATAAGTGAAGAATTCTTTCATATCTTTTTGCTCTCTTTGATAACGATCTGTTCTAGTAGTGAACGTTAGAAATGATGTGAAATTGATATCGTTGATATACAGATGTTCATTGTCGTGCTCTGATTATTTAACTTGAACTACTCGTTTTACTGCACATTATGGGACAATGCCACTTTTCTTTAACTGGATCAAATATCAAATCAAATAATAAAATATAGAAATTTGACAAAGTTGTTGTTATTCTTTTTTTTTCCTCATGATAATATATGTAGAGAAAACGAATGCATCTAATCAGCTGTATTGTACTTTCATTCAACGGATAGAAGAACAATGAATGAACGCCATTCGTTTCGACGTGTGTATACTCTCTAAGCGCATACTTATCGTTCTTTTCTTCTTCTTCTCCCACTACTACTACTACCACTACTACTACAACAACCATTAAATGCATTCATTAACTTGCACGAACTCTTGAGAAAAAAAAAATAGTAAGTTCATAAAAATTTATGTTAGTTACATTTTTTTTTTCATAAATTCGATATAGATATACGTATAAAGATATTACATTGATATTACGATGTAGTACATGTCTCAAGTAGTAGTTAATGAATAAGTATGTATATGACGTAAAAAGAATTTTGAATCTATCGATTAGTTTGTATATGACGAGCTGAACCTTTCTTCTTTTGTGTTGGCTTTTATTTGATAGTAGTTGTAGAGGTTAATGGATTACATAAGCAAATAACAAACGTAGATTTGACACTTATAAGACGTCTCTGTCGGGTCAAACAAGCCGATAAGAACAATAGAGACAAATATAAACGTCAAAATATCAACAATAGATCACTATTATCATTTTAAATCGAGATCTTTTTTCTCGTTATTTTATAAGTGTCGGGTTCGAATTTCTATACATCATCGAAAGTATGTTTGTTTACTTTTTAATTCTATATGATCAAAAAAAAGAAAATGCGAAATTGATTTTTTAGCTTTTCCTTTTATTCATAAGCAAAACACTTCGATATCGAATATATTTCAAAGAAAGTTTATATACATATATGCTTATTTATCTATTAACAAAATAGATAAATATAGTTGAATAATCAAATGTATATACACATCTGTGTCGAAGGCTTAGCACAACTCTTTCTTTCTTTTTTTTATATCAATATGTAGAAAACAAACGTTTGACAATGACAATAAACATTCTATTATTGTTTCTATTCTTAAGGCAGTACGCGAAAAGATAATTTTTAAGTCGGTTAGTACGTGCTTATAATCGTAATGAGTAGATGATCAAATATATATATATATCTATATATGTACATTCAATTAGAAAGAAAAACCCCTAGTATTCAAATCTGAAGGTTATTCATTCTTTTCCTTTTTACCTTGAAAATTTCATCTAATGAACCTTTTGCTGTTTCACACGTCATCAAAAAATGTGTAATGGTTGCAAAGTATAGAAGCAATTGATAATTAGACAATCTTTGTCGTCTGAATATTGCACATATTAAAGAACAATTGTTGACCTCCTC